TAAAAATTGTCTTTCAAAAGAATAAAAAAAAATCAGCTAATGATTTAAAGATTTTTTGGCAATAAAAATACTATGATTTTAAATACGTAAAAAATAATTTATTATATTTTTTAATAGATATTGAAGAATTATATATGATGAAATAGATCTAGATCATATATTATCTTTGAAATTTTGGGAGATTTTGAAGAGAGAACACTCATTCACATAAAAACATGGGTGTAAAATGGACTAGTCCGACCAGACAGCTCGACTCATTATGATCTGGAAATATTTTAGTCCAGTCCAGTCTAACTCGTTTTTTAACGAGACAAAAATAGATCAGTCCACCCCAAATCGTCTTAATTCGCGAGTCAAACGAACCGACTCGCAAACCAAATATATAATTTTTAAAATATTTAAAATATAATAAAAAAATCAAAATTTTAAAAAAAAAATATAAATATCTAATAAAAATACAATTTTTATATACAAATATTTAAAAACGTATAAAAAAAACTAAAATTTTTTAAAAAAATCTGACCCACGAGCCAGTCAGTTCATGACGAGTTGACTCGTTTAACCCGTTTTTTTTTCTAGACTTAAATATTTTGAACCCAACTCATAAAAATATGGATCGACTCACAAGCTAAGCCGCGAGCCGAGTTGGTTTTACTTACCTACATGTAAATACCTAAATAAACAAATAAAATTTAAGAAATCATAGTTCATGCCATATTTGTTTTGGTCTTGGTGATATCCAGATGGATTCGAATTGTGATCATAGAAAAGCACTTTTTGTTCTCACACCACTTTAATACCATGACCATAAAAATATTATGATTTTTAAATATGTAAACAGTAATTTATTGAATTTTTTAATAGAATGAAGAATTGTATATATCTGATAGAATAGATTTAGATCTAATGTTATCTATGAAGTTTTTGAAGTTTTGAAGAAGAAAAACTAGTTCACATGTAAATACCTAAAAAAAAAATAGAAAGCATATAGTTCATGTCATGTTCGAAAGGAGACGATTCTACTGAGTCGAGCTTTTTGTACGAGTGGGCGTTTCGGTTCGGTTCTTCGGAACCGGACCGAATCGAATTGAAAAACGGTACTTTTCCTGATCCGAAACCGTTTTCAATTCCCAAATGGTATTATTTTTAGAGAACCGAATTTTTTCGGAATCGAAACAAACTTTAAAAAATCCTGAAAACTGAATATTCTTAAAGAAAATTTATCTTTTTTTAATAAAATCTGGAACCAAACCGAACTGATATAGAAACCGAACCAAACCGAACACAGTATAAAAACCGATTGGTACCTATTTTTATAAAACCGAAAAAATCAAACCGATTCATTCCCATCCCGAATCCAAACCATTTCCCAAAACGTTTAGCCCTATCTTTTTCACTAAATCGAAACCCTAAGAAACGGATTTAACGATAAAACCATCTCTAGGTCTCACGCTCACAAATCCCACGTGTCATGTGCCTAATGTCTGTGGACCCCACATTTCTATCCCCATTCCAAACGTTAAAACGCTATATAATATAATAAAATATTTTTTTTTTCATATGCTTACCTATTTGTTATTATCCACACCTCACCCTCACTGAAATTACCCATCTCTCCGCCACGTTTTTATTTTCTTGTTCCCTATGCCTTTTTGTGATTGGAAATTAATTTTGTATCAAATTTTTTTAGGCTTTCGAAGAATGAAATGGTCTATAAAAATATAACAATAACAATATTATCTTGTAATAAATAGAGGTATGTAGTTTAAAAAGGAATAAAAGGGTAGCGCAATCCGAGATTATATAATAATATTATTTCAATTTTCAATGCACTTGGTCATCTACAGCCATAAAACATATAGTAACATAGTATAACATATGCATGCATGCATGTATTCGCTCTGACAACACCACGCCCCTGTATTATTTCTTGCTAGCGACTCCAATTTTATTAAAAACAATTATACATTCTCCCTTCGCTAAAATCAAAGACCAATCGCATGAGTAATTTTTTGAATACCTAAATTAAGTTTATTAACTGACATCCATAAGATGGAATGCTCGAAGCATTTTTTTTAATACGTATATAATTGTTTCCCACAAAATATTCATATATTCCTCTCTAAAAAGGCAATAATCTTAGTTGAAATAACACCAGAACCTGCAATGGTACCACACTACCACTCCACAAAACACATGGAATTGGGTAATGATTTTTATTTTGGATAATGCGGAAGTTCATTCGAGTTTTTTGCTCAATTACATCTGTCAAAAGATCAGAAAAGTTCGGATGAATGCATCTTTCTAAATAGAAACTCGAATGTGGTTTGGGTAGGAGCTTTGCTTCCTTTTTTTTTACCGGTCGAATCATTCAATTTCGGATAAATAAAGGGTTTTCTTATGTGAATTTAAATATAAAAAGCCACAAATTGTGTCACTTTTAGAAATAGAATAGGATCTAACTAGGCATAAAGTGTGTAGCATGCATCATGATATACACCATTTATTCCGCTGGTATTGTTGTCCAAGAGGTTCCTAATTTTTGAAACTGGGAATCGAGGCCTGAGACTAGCTGAATGGTAAAATAGAAAAAGCTATGGAAGTAGCTCGCAAAAATTTATGACCAAATAAAAACCACACATTTACTTCAATTCCGGTTTTCCTAACAAATCGCATTTAATTAATTTGTGATTAAATGTGTTTTGTATAAGTAGTAATTATATAATTTTTTTTTGTACGTCTTTGACGCATGCGCACCACTTGTGAGTTAATGGTCTTTTGGGTATTGAAGTCTCTTTAACTAACGTAGACGTTTCTTGTTGGTGGCAATTCTCTCTCTCTCTATGTATGTATGTATGTATGTATGTATGTATGTATGTATGTATGTATGTATGTATGTATGTATACACGTACAATGAAGCATCTAGAGCAGCCAAACGTATGCGTTCGAATCATATTTTAAAAGATACAAGAAACAATGCCAAAAGTATAAAAATTTAACCTAAAAAACGGAAAAAGACGAACAACAAACTTAAAAATTACCTATTGTTTGTGAAAATGAAAAAAAAAAAATGTTACGTACTAGTCAGAGAACAAGGCGAGGATTATATATATTTCATGCATTTAATTAGATTCTAACAACGACATTATATTTTGTAATTTGTAATTTGGGATAGGGTTCGGATCTAGAATTCTAAATGCAGGCATAGCTAAAACCTTCGAGAAGAAGACCACAAAAGGGTCCAAAATATCATTGAAGTCACGTGAAAATGGTACACTCAATTGCAATATTTTATTCGAAAGGGACAATTCCATAAATTTCAGAGTAAATTTCACTTAAAGTGTACCCTTTTAGTTTCCCTTGCAAATTCGGTAAAAAGGCTTTACCATATTATAATTCAAAAATATTTTACAATTGCCTCTATATATACACCATTGTTTTCTTGGAACTATGATCATAAATTGTTTTCAATTCCATTTATAAGATAAGATTCGGAATAGAATGGTCGAAGATATACCTATTCGTTCACATAGAAAAAATTTAAGGATTAAAATTTAGCTTCAAAATCATCTCAAGATTATTCTTGGAATATAACGGTAGACTATACCTTTTAATCAAGTGGATGATTAAACAAATGTCAGTAATTAAATTTTGCAGGAAAAAGAAAAAAGAACAAAAAAAAAACTGCCCAAACCTCCTTTCGTTTACTTCCTCAATAGTGAGAAGGTTATATAATTATATTCACTATATATATATATATAATTAGCTTTTAACAAATTATTACAGTATTTCATGAATATAATATTCAATAAAAGAATGATATCATATGTTTTATAGAAAGGGAAAGCAAATCAAATTCCTTTCTTATGACATAAGATGGACCGTGAGACATCTCTCACTGGTGTCCACTTGTTCTTATCTTCAAAACGTCTTCCCAATGTTATAATTGGCATGTATTAGTAACCGGAAAATGGATTTGGCACCCGTTAATGAATTTGTGTCTACTTGTATAAAATGTCACCAAATAAATTTAGACAGCAGATAATAAATGGATTTATCATTGTTGATATCTGATTTGACCATTGATTTAAATCACATCTAAATAAAAATGTGTATATATTTAGATATTCGATATTTTAAATAAAACTAAGACCGGGGATTGTAAGTAGGTATCTAATGACAAAAAAAGTTGGAAGAGAATTGTTTTAGTAATCAATTTTTTTGCTGGTCAGATTTCATTTCATCATTTTTTCGTGAAAGAAAAAAAAAATTATATCCCCCAAAAAAATTGAAGAACAAATAAAAAATAATTTTCTTTCATTCCGTTCAACAATATTCCACAAATCATTCAGTAACAAATAATCCATAATCTTAAATATCAGATATAGTTAAAAATAAAATTAATTGAAAAATATCCAACTTATATATATATGTATATATATGAATAAATTATTTAGATGTCTATTCCGTATAAATTTTATGTCTATTTTATGTATGTAAAAATAGATGATAACTATCATATATCTATAAATAGATAAGATAACTATTAAGGGAGGGTGTGTGTGTGTGTGTATCTAAATTATTTAAGTGTCTTATTCCGTATAAATTTTATATCTATACATAGACAAGATAACTATTAATTATGTATTGTAAACACAAACTTATCAAGTAAAAGATTTTTTTATAATGAATAATATATATATATATATATATATATATTTATTTGTTAATTATAATGAATTTAGGCATATGTCTATTTGTAAATAACTGCATTATGTTATTTTTTATTTGTTAGCTAATTTTATTTTAAAAAAAATTATTTTGTTATAAATTTATTCTCTAGTTGCCCGAATTGTAAATTTAAATATCCGAAGGAGCTGAAAATCAAAGCTTGATCTATTGAGTTTTTCTTTTTGAAATTACAAAAATAATTGAGGGAAGAAAAAAAGACAAGGATAAATATGTTCTAACATGTCCGAGATCCGGATTGTGTTTCTGGTACCATTCTTGTCTCCTCCCTAAGCTTCATCTCTCACTCTCTCTCTCTCCCCAATTATTATTTTTCTCCACTTTGAAAAAAATATCTCCTTGCTCCATAGAAAAGGATCATCTCTGCAGTATAAAGAAAATAAAACTCTTCCTCGTTCTCCTCCCTCTGTCTCTATCTCACTCTCTCTTCTGAAGGCGAGCGTCTTCCTCCCATGGCAACAATCTCAGAAGTGATTATTTAGCTTTACTGTCGTGTACCCTTTATGGATCTCGGGGTTCGGGTTCAAGGGTCGGTGCCGGGTCATGAAAACGGAGCTCCGACTCAGTCGGAACTTGGATCTGGGTTTGCCAAACAAGACAGATCCGGGTTCGACGGCGAAGATTATTGGCGAAGCTCGAAGCTTGGGAGGACTGAGGACTTTTCAGGCTGCAAAACGCTGTCGTTTCATCAGGGTATTCCTCTACTTCGATCTACTTCTCTTGTTTCCTCCGATCCCCGCCGGCAAGAGCACATGCTCAGCTTCTCTTCTTCAGACAAATCCGAAGCTCTGGATTTCAGCAAAGATGACGGCTTGGATAATAAGAGCTGTCTCTCCCCGTATCTTCAGCAGTTTGCCTCTTCTTACAGTAGAAATGCAGGTTAGAGTGCATCTTTCTTTTTCGTCCCCGAAAAGCAACGTGTGGGTTTTAATTGGAGCTCCATTCACTGAAATGGGTCTCTGTAAAAATGATAAAAATCAGAACTTTTCAATCTCCTATTAGGGTTTATCTGAGTGTGAAATAAAGGAGATGTTTTGAAACAGGATTTGATTCAGGAGGGATGATGAACACAAGCATGCACGGAAATGTTACAGGAGTTAGAGGACCTTTCACATTGACACAGTGGGCAGAGTTAGAGCAACAGGCGTTGATCTATAAATACATCACAGCAAATGTCCCTATTCCTTCTAGTTTGCTTCTCTCTCTCAAGAAGTCCTTTTACCCTTACGCCCATGGATCCTTACCTCCCAATTCATGTAAAAAGCTTCTCTTTCCTTCTGGGTCTCTTCCTGATGACAAAAGATCGAAACTTGATGCGTTTTGGTGCAGATATGTGTCATTGATCGAATATTATACTGAATTTTGGGATTCTATTCAAGTCATTTGTGTCCTAATTGGACAGTACCACTGATCTTAACCGCGGTTATAGCTGTTTTGTGATTATACTTTAGGATCTACCTTAGGGCAATGTTTGTTTTTGTTCTTTGGCTGTCCCCTTTTCAAGATTTCTGCTTTGTTGTTGGCTGGTGAATGTGTAGTTTTAATCTAAAGGCTATTGGCTTGGATTGTGCAGTCGGATGGGGCTCTTTCCATCTCGGATTCTCGGGCGGAAACATGGATCCCGAGCCGGGGAGGTGCCGTAGGACGGATGGTAAGAAATGGCGGTGCTCGAGGGACGCTGTCCCGGACCAAAAGTACTGCGAGAGACACATAAACAGAGGCCGTCACCGTTCAAGAAAGCCTGTGGAAGGCCATTCTGGCCACAATGCTGCGTCCAAGGCGGCGATTCCATCACCGTTGAAAGCAAGTGCTGCATCCAATCCTTCTACAGATTCTCTTGCTAACAGGTTGAAATATAATCTTTTGGTGGATTTTCCTTTGTATTTGTCTTTGAATGTTTTTTTCCTTTTGCAATAAGAGTAGACCCACCCATTATTTCTTCTTTTAGATTTTGGTGATTGTGACTATTCCTTCGTAGTTGAGACTTAGGATTCCATGTTTGGAACTTTTTGCACTCTATACTCTCCTCTTTCCTCCATCTTTTCTCTGTTTCATCATTTGGCAGTGAAAGAAAAACAACAAATGTATGTTCATGTCTTCACCCACTTTCTTGTCTGAATTGCTGGATAGTGCCTTTTGTATCTGATGTGGTTCGTTTCAACGTCATCTCTGACCATGCAAGCGTTCTTTGATGCATCACAGGGTTCAAAATTCACGAGGAGCGTCCGTGTTTCCTTCCACCGTCAGCTCGCAGCACAAGGAATCTCCCGTGGCTCATCAAAAGCAAGAAAACCCTTTCGAGTTCGGGCTCAGCTCCTCTGCTTCCCTCATGAACATGTCGCAGAAATCTTCCTACATGAATTCTGCCAAAGGGTTTGGTTCTTATCTTGATTTTAGCGGCCAAGAAAAGCATTCCAGCAATCCGAACATCGTCTCGTGGCCCGAAGAGCTGAAATCGGATTGGACACAGCTTTCTATGTCTATCCCGATGGCTTCCTCGGAGTTCTCGGCCTCCCCTGCATCTCCCGCGCAAGAAAAACTCGCCCTTTCGCCTCTAAGGCTGTCTCGGGAGTTTGACCCGACGATCCAGATGGGTTTAGGAGTCAACGCCGAGATTCTTGAACCTGTCAAGAAGGTGAATAACTGGATACCGATCTCCTGGGGAAGTTCATTGGGCGGTCCTTTAGGGGAGGTACTGAACAGCACGACCAACAGCCCCAAGCTGGGATCCTCCCCGACAGGTGTTTTGCAGAAATCCTCCTTCTGTTCACTTTCCAACAGCAGTTCGGGCAGCAGCCCGGTTGGCGAGAACAAGAAGGGCGGCGATGGGGCCGGGCTGTGCGAGGATTTGCTCGGGCAGACGCTACTGAGCTCCTCCTCGGCTCCATCGATGTGAAAAAAAAAAGCAAGTAGTTCCGTGATGGATCTGCGAAACTGGAAGTAGTTTGGCCGTGGAAGTTTGTTTCTTGATTGCATTGTTTTTCTTCCTCTCTCTCTTGTTCGAGGAAACCCTAAAAGGAGATGATAGAGAGACAGACATGGGTTTTTTTTTTAATTAAAAAAAAATGTTTTTGTCGGCCTGTGTCTTTCTCCATTCCCGATTTCTAAATCCATGGATTTGTGGGTATGAACAAGTTTATGTTTGTGTATTATTGTTATTCATTCTACTGTCCCTTTTTTACATTTATTTTTTTAAATGACAATATTCAGTTTCGTTGAAATGGTCAATGATATAATATCTATCTATTTTTATGATATATCAAGCGTTGGGTTTTTAAAATTATTGTTTATAGGTTAAAAAAAGTTTTGGTAATCGGATCAAAGTATTTTTTTTTTTAAACTATTTCTAGGTTAAAATTTGGATATTGGATCAAAATGGTTAAAAAAAAGGCCTACACTTTGCGATTTTTTGCAATCGCAAATGGAAGAATTCGGTCGACTCACAAGAGAAACTGCTAAAAAACATATTTTATACGTTCATATGTTAATTTTATCGTAATTTGTAGATTTCAATCAAATTGAAAACTGTGATTTGATGCTTATTAAAACTGTAAAGATTCGGTTTCCTACATGCAGACACAAGGCAAGCTTGTGGCTTGCTCTCGAAACAATATGGTCTCCCACTTGGTTTCCCCTTTTAGTATTTTTCTATTTTTGTTTTTGTGTTTGTAATATTCTTTCTTGATATTTATTCTCCAAGGGATAAAATTATTTTATGGGATTACAAAGAGAAAAGGAAGACAAAAAAAAAAGCATTCGTGGCATTTCATATAGTGTCTAATATGGACCCAACCTCGAACGCGATCGGTCCATTATTTCATGATTTCGAATCTTACAAATTTGTTATAGATCTTATTCTACCTGTGCCCTGTGGCATGTGCTCTGAGCCCACTTGTCCCAGTGCCCTCATGATAACTTTTTTTTAAAAAAAAACCTCTGCTTGAAGTTTTACATATCGTATATAATAGATATATATAGGCTATATGTATATATATTGATGCAAATGGTACGAGGGCACATATTGGACCAACCATGTAACAACGTTGTTATTATGCCAACACACATTCCATGTTATAATCTTTAAGTATCAAAATGGCCGTTTTCTTGAAAATAAATTTTATTTTAGATGATCTGATATTATTATACATAAATATCTGGTAAAATTATATTGTGGACTGGGCCCACACTTTAGTAGAAGATGTTCTAAGAAGAAGAAAAGACCCGGAGATTTCGGGACGCGTAGTTGATTCGGTTCGGTTTAATTGGTGAGGCCGCAGCTCGATTTACTGAACCGCTGGTAACAGAAAACAGAGATATATAATTCATATTTAATAATGGCGAAACTTTGGCCATATAATATATAAAATATATCATTAATACTTTATAATAAACCATAAGCATAAGCCATGATCTTTTTTTACATTTTGTTGTAGCTAAGCCATGATCAAAATAAAATATGCCGAGGCGTAATTTTTGGTAAATGAAATGTAAATTTAGTGATTAAGATATTAGCTAATTTGCTTTTAATTTTTAATTAGCTACCCAATTAAGACATTACGGAAGTGGAGATCTAATGCTTTCGCTTTTAAATAAAATAAACTAAACATTATAAAACATCTAAATATCTAATGCATAAGAACATTCCACTAACTTGTATTTATCATGAAATTCATTTATTATTTTTTGTTAGCCTTGAAACAATGATTATAATATTTCCATATTAGATGTGGTTTAATTTTTTTTTCTATTGTCCTAAACTTTGATTTATATAATTCGATCGAAGATGATCGTTGATGGGTTTTGTTTGATCATGTTATATGCTTATGTATATGTATATACGTATATATGTGTGTGGTGATGGGCTTTTCGGGCGTCACGTGGTATGCGTCGTTTGCGTTGTCATTAGCTTGGTGAATAATAATATAAGATGGCAACATGTGACTGTGTATAATATAAGATATGTGGTCAAAGATTAAGCCCTGTGGCGTGAGGAAACTTTTAAAATAATTTCGAAATATTGCTTTCAAGGGTCGGTCGCCCATGATATTAACACTCGCAATTGGGATTCAAATTAAAGGGCATGTTTAAGCTTCACTAGATTGTCACTGTTCTATATATATATATATATATATGAGAATCTTGAATTAATAAAGGCTGAAATCGACCGCTAGTAGAATGGTGACACCACGTAAACTTGTGAAGTGAGACAATTCAGTCCAACCCGTCTTTAAAACATGGACGGAAACGCTTCGAGGTGTTCAAGACGTTCACCACAATGTTATCTGCAATCTGCAACCCATGAGCCAAAAGCATTTATTATGTATGGTCCAAAAATTAAGATCCAAATATTTTAACACATTAATTAAGATCCAAATATTTTTTGTATTTGTATTAGAGCCGAATTCCGATTAGATTTTGTTTTGTTTTTTGTTTTTTGTTTTTTTGCAAAACTGGCATTTTCATAAGAAAAGGAACTATATTAATTTTTTTTAACTTATATAATACTCAACAAGTATATACCATAATAGATGTGTTTATACTATGAATGCTGCTAATCAAATTATTAAAATTAAATCTAGACTTCAAGTGGAGAGCACTCCGTGGTTGTCACACGGAGTGCAAGTCAAATAATATACATTTATTTATTTATTTCGTTCCTATTATCCTAAATGGGGTTCGGTCCATTTCAACCATCCAAAGTTAGTGGGAAAGTGATTAATGGCTTCACACTACCAAATATATATATATATATTTTTAGTTTTCAAATTAATGATATGATAAGATAACTATATAGGTAGAAAAACTACTTACAACGTATATCGAAAACCCCCCGTGACAAAATTAAAAATAGAAAACGCTATATTTAAAAATAAAAAATAAATAAATAGAATTTAACCAAATTTAGCTATTATAAATACACTCGGAACCTCAAACATCAAAGGAACCAACGATCTTCCTTCTCTCTCTCTCCCCCCCTTCGCTTGCGAAAAACACTCTTCGAAAAGAGCGTAAAAATGGCAAATCTCTCCCCCCTGCTCACGTTAGTCCTCATCCTTTGCTCCGTTCTAATATGCGCCGCCCGCCCTGAGCCAACCTTCCCTGCCGCCGCCGCCACCACCGCTTCTCCGGTCGACAGGATTCACCAGGTTAGTTTGATTCATGTATATATACGCTCTCTCTCTCTATATATATATATATATATATGATACAATATTATATGCATGTGTGTGTATATGTACATGTATGTTCATGAATTATATGCTTGCTTATGCACATAAGGGGATTGGATATATTACAGGAGAAAAAGATAGAAGGGAATCGAGATGACGTGGCAGAAGAGAGCTGCGGTGTAGAAGACGAAGATTGCTTGATGAGAAGGACCTTAGCTGCTCATCTTGATTACATCTATACCCAGAAGAAACATCCATGAATTTTCTTTAAAAAACGTTACCACCTTATTTTATATATTTTGTGTGCAAACCCTAGATTAATATAATATAGAATACGTATTTTTAGGCCAACTTTGTCGTCGATGCAACAGAAATTAAGAACAAAAGATAATTAATATAGTGAATTATGTATGTATAATTTACCTGCGGGGTCAATATGGTTCCAGCATTTTGAAAGCTTATGATTCTGTAACGACTCTCTAGATTACATCTGGGTGGAGTTTTTTTATGTTTTGGAACTCTGGATCAAAATCTGGTTGTAATAGTTTTTCAGATGAATATAAATTTACAGTTAACAAAAAAAATAGGGGTAATGGCAAAAAAATATGAACTTTGTGTATTTGGCAAATAAATACACAAACTTTTATTTTGGTAATAAAATACATAAACTTTTGAAATAATGACAAAAAAAAAACATGAACTTTTTTTATTTGCCTTAAAAGAAGAGATAATGGGGTAATGGCAAAAAAAACATCAACTTTGTGTGTATTTAGCAAATAAATACATAAACTTTTATTTTGCTAATAAAATACACATACTTTTGGAATAATGACAACAAAAAATTGAACTTTTTTTATTTGGCAAATAAATACACAAACTTTTATTTTGATAATAAAATACACAAACTTTTATATTTTTAGCGCAAAGCTCCACGAACAATAACGACGTCAAAAAAATAACGGAACCATCAACACGTCATCTATATTTGTGAATATCCGTATCCGATATAAAAATTATAAAATTTTAAATTAAAATTAAAAAACAATTTTAAATATAAATAAATTATATAGGTCATTTATATTCAAATTTTAAAATTTAAATATTTAAAATTAATATAAATATAAATATAATCATAATCTATCATATACAAATGTATTCAAAGTTTAAACATTCTAAATCTCAATTATTTAAAATCAATATAAATATAAATATTCAGATATCCAAAACGTACGAATCAGATAAAGATATTTATTTTGAAATATTTGTCGGTTACGGATCGGATACAGATATCAAATTCGAATTATCCGACATATTCAATCTGATTCGTACTAATTAATAATACTATTAAATATAAGAATAATTTGGTATAGAAATTTAAAATACTTTATATTTACATGTTTTGTAGATATATTTAAGAAATATTTTATATAATTGAGATTTAGAATGTTTAAACTTTGAATACATTTGTATATGATAGATTATGATTATATTTATATTTATATTGATTTTAAATATTTAAATTTTAAAATTTGAATATAAATGACCTATATAATTGTATATGATAGATTATGATTATGATTATATTTATATTTATATTTATATGGATTTTAAATATTTAATTTTAAATTTTGAATATAAATGACCTATATAATTTATTTATATTTAAAATTATTTTTTAATTTTAATTTAAAATTTTATAATTTTTATATCGAATACGGATATTCACAAATATAGATGACGTGTTGATGGTTCCGTTATTTTTGACGTCGTTATTGTTCGTGGAAGTTTGCGCTAAAAATATAAAAGTTTGTGTATTTATTTTTCAAATAAAAAAAGTTCATTTTTTGCCATTATTCCAAAAGTTTGTGTATTATTTGTCAAATACACAAAGTTTATTTTTTTTTTTTGCCATTACCCCAAAAAAATATGTATGTATAAGATAATAGTTATACCGCGACATCGTACGACTGTTTTCATGAATAAAAAAACAAGAGATAAACCCATAAAAAATATCGAATTTGATAATTAGTGGAAAATAAATTCCTAAACTAGTAGACTGTAATAATAATTTCCGAACTTGAAAAATACGGAAAAATAAATCCCGAACTTCATAACAATTTTGGATCGATGTTGACTAATTAAAGTGTCAGATATTATCCTACATGTTCAATGATACGTCAGACTTTGCCATATATGCATATCCAAAAATATTAAATGAATTTTAATGAACCGGACCAAGTCAGATTTTATTTAACCGAACCAAATCAACCAAAAATACTATTGTTCATCATCTTTCGATTAAGGTTTTGATCTAAACCCTAATCGTCGCCATCACTTTTCTCAAACATTATAATATGATTGTCCAAATGAAAATAACAAAAATTTCTCAGAGATATTTTACCAAACACTTTGTGTGGTTCTTTCTTTACAATTTGACTTTCAGTCTTATCCTGAGAATATCACTTGTTGACAATCTAAATTTCCTTTGAAATAGAAGTTCTTTCCGGTAAACCTCTCTATTCGAAAAAGAAATACAAAAAAATTTCTCCTTTGTTCCATGGTTGTCTATCTTGATCTTTTTTTCTTTGTCATTGTTGATATCATAACTACAACGGCAATGGAAACGAGACACAAAGTGATGGTGACAATTAGGGTTTCAAAACCTTAATTGAAGAAGATGAAGAACAGTAGATTTTTAGCTGATTTGGTCCGATTAAACAAAATCCAATTTTGTCCGGTTCATTAAACTCGTTTAATATTTTCGGTTATGCATATGTGCAAAAAAATATGATATATCACTAAACAAATAGAATAATATCTAACATTTTAATTAGTCAATATCGGTCAAAGCTTGTCATGACATCATTTTTTAAGTTCGGAATTTATATTTCCATGTTTCTCAAGTTCGAGAATTATTATTTCAGTCTATTAATTTATGAATTTATTTTTCACCAATTATCAAGTTCGAGAATTTTAACGTCTTCATGGTACTATAGAGTATGTATTATTAATTACTTTTATTGGAATATCTTCTTTCATCACCGTAACATATGTATAATACAAGTTATATAGTACTATGTATTTGCAAAAATTAAAGAAATCATAACAACTCGATATCTTAATCCGGATCATACCAATCCGATGGTTTTACTCTAGTTAACCTACATTCCATCTGACTTAAAGGAAATACCCAAACTTAATTAGTTCAATCGGTGAAACGGGGGTGTAAAGTGTTTGTTCTGTCCCGAATTCGAACTTCAAGTTTGGAGAGGGAGCGTATATCTCAAATCATCTAATTGGTTCCCGATCCCGAGATTAGTGTGGGCTTCGGTTTAGAATATCCGGTTACAAAAAAAAAACTTAAAGGAAACCTCTGTCTGAAAGCGAATGTACACCTCTGGTTTTATCAAGCTCCAAAAATCATATCTTTGATCCTAAACCCAAGAACCATGGCGAAATGCATCGACAAGAGATAGGCCAAGGACTGTCGAAAAGATGATCTACCCGAGTTCGTTGATTTTTTGTCGGTCTAACGTCGACAGGTCTTCCCGTATAAATTGTCTGGTCCGTAAGAAGTTATGTCTGTTTTGGATTCAAATTTGGTTGAAATCATGAATTTAGTTCGAATTTAGGGTTTTTTGTGCAGTTCAATTGATCTCGGAGTTGTGTTTTTATGCATGAAAAATTAAGAGTATATAATACATGTAAACTATTAAAGTAAAGAAATCGCATATTCAGTATCTAGAAGGTTCAAATCGACAAATGGAAGAATGAAACCAAATCTGGACAGCACACAAGGAAAAAAGTAATAAAAGGAAAGAAGACATTTACATCAATGAAGGAAAAGGCAAAACACATATTCGGAGGATATTGAGAGAATTACTCGGAGAAGCCTATATATGTTGAAGACCCTGCTACAGAAGAGGTGGTTGAGATTATTGCTATTAGAGAGCAAAGTCTGTGACCTTGATGAGGGTCACATATACGGGAAACACTGGTGAAAGATATTTGAGAGAACGTGAGGTAAATCTGAGGGGAAGCCTTAAGTAACAGACGAATTGCTCACTGGCCTAGACGTGATCTAGGGTAACACGTGTTGTGCGTTGCACACAAAGTGTTTGTGGTTGATAGAATTTATTGTGATACTAGGATTTTACTCAGGGGGAGTGAAACCGGGTGGGTTGAGTGTTACTTGGAAATGATTGAAGTGTATTTGACACGTATCAAAGAAATAGAATCAGTTTGGAAATTCTTAAATTGCAAAATCGTGTGAAAGTGTTTTTCCACAAACGTGTGAAATATATATCTGTGTATGTGTATGAACCGTTTTCAAGCGCGTCTAGCCCGAAGGCGTGCGAGAGATGGGTTACAATTTACGGGAACTCGTGAAGGGAGGAGGTCCAAAGTTGGTGAGCCGAAATCGTTATTCACATTTCATATTTAGTTATTTTTATATGTTGTTATACGGAAAATGAAAGAAGAATATTGAATAATTATTATTGTGACGTGGCCTTATATCTCGTATCTGTGTTACATTATTCGGTATTATCCACTGGATGATATTAAAAACTAATTAATGAAAATACAACACAGCAAAGAATCATGTGGAGCTCAACCGTAGTAGATTTAAAAATAATAATAATATGATATTTATAAAAGAAATTCATTTTAGTCGTTCATATTATTTCGTCCATGTAATTTGTCAATTGTGTAATAATATCAGCTTTAGTAAATCTAAAAGAGTAAAAGTCTATCATAGATGGTTTAATCTTTAATGATTTATACGGTTTTTACAAAATTTGAATCATGACCCCATATATTAGTGTTTAGATATTATACTAATTAAATAAAACAAAATCATTTACATGTTGGGAGCTACAAGATACAAAGGAATCGACCAAAAATTTCTCCATTTGATTTTCTTGTTGCAAGCCAGTTTTTACATTTTATTTAAATAAAGGGAAAATGACATTTTCCTACACCAACTTTGCAAAATGTGACATTTTCCTACACGAATTTTTAATTTGACAAAAAACTACACCAAATTATCAAATGTGCCAAATTGATACACGAACTATCCAATTTAACTACAATTTCCTACACAATCCGAAAACGGTGTTAAGTGTCCGTTAACCGCTGACGTGGCACGCCACGTGGCAGCTGACGTGGCACGCCACATAGATTTTTTTGCCACATCAGCATGCCACGTCATATTTTTAAAAAATTCCAAAAATATGAAAAAAAATCGATTTTTTTTTAAATTTAAAATAAAATAAATAAACAAAAAAAAATATACATATATATTCATATCTATATACAAATAAAAATATAAATATATATACAAAATAAAAAACATACACATATATATACAAACATCTATACAAATATATATATACATATACATACAAACAAATATATTTATATATACATATACATATATAAACACATATATATGTATATATACATATGCAT